GGAGAGGGGGGGGGGGTCATCATTGGGTCTTTCCCTCTTTTCAAAGAAGCTCTCCAGCGACGTTAGTTTTTTTACTCATTTTGGCTAGGGTTAGCTTGTGGGCTTACCAAAACTGTGACTGACACAAGTGCGCAGTGCTGGAAATATGCACGGACAGAAGTGGTAAATCAAATAATGGGTGGGCCCCACGCAGACTCACTGCTCACCTCCTGCTGTGCGGCCCGGTTCCTAACAGGCCACGGACCAGTACCAGTCTGTGGCCCGGGGGTTGGGGACCCCTGGTGTAGAGGATACTCTTCTTTACTTCACATACGGGCACAACACAGGCCAACTCTATCTTCTTCCTTTTCTGAGTGCAACACTTAGATGTTAGCGTCCCTACAGGCTACACACATGGTCGCTCATCCGGCGTGGTTCTACCCGTCCACTCTCGGCCTCGCCGCTGGCTGACGGTGTGCCGGCAAGGGTGGTGGAACTCGGCAGGAGATCTGCCACGTGGCGGGACGATGGAGGGAGATGACGGCGAGCAGCGACGCAGTCCGGACCCAAGATTCCCCATACCGACCATGAGTCCTCCTCCGCTCCCACTTATATTGCTGCAGGCGCGGCTAGGCTCCGCCTCCTGCCACACCCTCTTGTGGAAACTTCCCGCAGGTTCCCGAAGTATATCGGCCAGCCCCGGCCCCTTACCTTTGGCCCAGATACCTCTCCGTTTGGGATTGGATGATGTTTTAGTGGTGCCCATACCCTTGCTTCCCTTTTCCAACCAGCAGGTGTCATCATGTCATTACACTATCGATGTTTACAGCACAGCAGCAGGATAAATGTTAAATATTAAAAAATCTGAAAATCAGAGATTATGCCAGTTTATCTGGTCACGAAACAATATAAAGCATTTCGGGGTGAAAATACCATAACCTACCTTCTTTTTTCGCTGCTAATTTCCCTCCGTTGCCACAGTCGACTTGCACTCACTTGAATGTTTGGAATGCATGCTGCTTCTCTCAATCAGAATACAAATAATTAATATAATGACTTTGTCCAAATTTATATTCCTAATTTGAGCGCTCCCTGTCACTATCCCAACACCCTTTCTGCATACTCTTTGGTTCTTTCGGTAAAGTAACGTAGTAACAAAATGAATTAAATCACAACGTTTCGGGCGCAACACAAGTGCCTGTCATCAGGTGGAAACAACCACAGCAATAAACAATCGCTGAAGTGGGCAAAAGGAAACTGCTTGTGACACGAGGCTATATATATGTAAGAGGGGGGGGGGGGTGAGGAGCCAGGGAGGAGAGATAGAGAGGGTGGGGGCGTGGGGTACGGGGAGTGGCGAAGTGCAAGCTCCAACCCGAGCCCGAGTACAACACAATGTCGGGTCTGGAAAGTGAGCAGGGCTGGAGGGTAGGAGGCTGAAGAAACTGGAGTTGCGGATACGAAGGCAAACTATAAAGCAGTTAAGGTTTTACCTCGTTCATAACATCCTTCCAATGATTGCTCAATTTGTATCCATCTTCTCTTTCTGCAAATACTCAACTCGGCCACTTCCAAAATCTTCACTCAGCCCCCATCAGAGAACCCCAATTTTTTTTCCATAGCTATTAACTAACCAAAGAAAATTTTAAGTTGACAAAACAACTCCCCCCAACTCCCTTGATGCCCCCTGAACACTCCTCAAACATAGGCATGCCTTTTGTGAATGTCCAGACATTAACAATGTTTTTCAAAGGATCACTTGCTACTTTTACCACGTTCACAAAACAAGCATCTCACCCTCACTGGAAATGTCCTTATTGGGGTTGAAACCCCTAGGCCTTTCCATAGAGGCAAATATATTATTCCAAATGTTCAGTGTTATGGCAAAACGCACCATTATAGCCAACAGGAGAGAGCATGCTCCCCCCAACACTGCAGGAATGGGCCAATACATTATCAAAAAATGCCGCCTTCGAGCATCCAAGTGCACAACTAAGGGGCATGGAGGAAGCTTACCACAAAACATGGAACCCCTTCACTACCTCCCCTCCAGTGGGCAATGATTCGTAGGAACATTCATGAGGGCATTTAGCCACTCCTCCCCACCCCCTCCCTTTTTTTCTCCTACAAGGGTATCAGAGCTTATGAAGACACCACGGTTGCAGATTTTATTGAAAGTTTATTGATACGTGCAGTTTAGACAGGTTTCCAGGTTTTTTGCTTGTACCTGAATCTTTTGTTAATAAAATACTTTTGGAAAAAAGTCTTGTAAGAGTCGGTGGTTCTTCGTTTTTGGCTGACTATGCCGAGTAACTGTGAGCTGAGAGCTCGGGTGGGCTCGACTGTTTCGAGTGGTTTTGTAGAGAAGTGCTGAGAGACCCAGATCCAAAACTGCTACAACTATGACAAGGGTAGCTGAGTTTTTTTTAAATCCTTTATATTAAGTTCGCTTGCTTGCTTGCTTGCATGCTTGCGTGCTTGCTTGCGACCGTGCAAATCTTTCGGTCGTTTTTTAACCCACTTCCCGTGATCCAATCGAGCTGACATTTTGCACAGACTGGTTGTGCGAGACAATTAATATTCGTGAAAATTTTTTTCCAAAATTTGACACTGTTTAGGGAAAACAAATAAAATATTTAATTACCAATTGCTTAATACTGGCAGACAATCATCTGACCCATAGGTGGCAGCCATCTCAAGCCAGAGGACGAGATGACTCTAGCCGCCACGCATATAAAGGATTTAGAGTGAAAAACTTTGTTTTTACGGGTTATGCTTATTCTTCAATGTGGACTATTGTCGTTAAGGTATCACTCTCCGCAATTTTGCAGGGTGAACTGGATCACAAATCCAATGCCAGCTTCTTTACTCAACTTAGATTCGCATTAACTCTTGCCTCTCACTACCACGCACAGATGCAGCTCTCACGTTAACGACTCCGATCACCAGTGCCAATCATCCTGCAGTGTCACCCAGTTTCACGACTCTCCCAGGAGGGTCCTGTTGCAGGATGTTTGGCCAGTTTCGCATGGCTTGCGAGGTTCGCACTCATCTATGAATGCCCCAAACGATTGGAATTCCATCGCTTCACAAGTGTCCACGGTTCCTCTCCCATCTATATCGTAATTTGATGCTTAGCTGTAAATTTTCTACAATCACTTCATCCCCAATTGACTAAAATAGCCTCACTTGTTTCACAGATTTTTGCATCTATGTAACTTAACTCAACATAACTCATTACATTTCTTTCCGTACGATATTTTGGATTGTGCAAGTTGCTTTTGGGTCAGATTGCTATTAGCTTCATTCTGTTCGTCATTTTGGTGACCCAAGTCACTTGCAAATTAGACCATCCTGGCCTCTTGTGTTTTCATCCCATCTGGTTAAATAAAACAAACTTTACTTTTTGAATGGTTTATTTGTGCGGTGTTAGGAAGTCAGTGATGGTGAATGGGATGAGGCACAGAAAAGAGCAAGACAGTTGCAGTTGTCACGTCATGTTCCTGCAATATGAATAGAGACCTTGCACTCTCGCCCCTCAGACACCACACTGGGATTGGCGCTATGTAGCTGCACTTTGAGCAGTTGAGCTGGTAGAGCTGTGTGGAACATCACCACCCCGCCTAGCCACGTTCCTCCTTCAGCAATATTTTTTAGGTCAGACTGGAAACCCATGCTAATTCACGCACCAGATGTGCATTGACCAACCTACATCTTAGACCTCCCCACCAACATTGGTGCAATGAGAAGCCTGTGTACATTAGACACTTGCCACAATTTTCCTGCAAGACTCATTTACACTGCCACATGGCTTTGTTACAAAGTATTGTTTTCCAAGTCACTCCACGTTGAGCTCACCGCCTCTAAACTGTTGTTTCTTTTATCAGGTAAAAACCAGAGCTATACGGAGATTTTTCATAAGAGTCCTGGCCACAAATGATAGCCGACTGGCTTGTGGAAATTTGCAACGGCCAAATACTCGAAGGGGCATGTTTAAATGTTGATATTTTGGCATTTTACATCAATTTGCATCGCACGTTGGAGTAGACCACCAGCAATGACCTTAATTAGACATCCGAAGCAAACGTGCAACCAGAGACAACCAGGTAGTACCAAGGCCTCCTATTGGCGCGGAGGCCTCCATAGGTGATTGAACAGGAGGCAAGGTTTGAAGTGATTCAAACTGATAAAGGCAGGAAGCAAAGGTTAAGCTCTAAGGTGACTTGCGCACCCTTGAGGCGATCGACGTGAGAGAAGGGGGCTCCAAAGAGCTAAGAGGAGAGCACAAAAACATGTCAGGGGAAGAGGCACTTCAAGTCAAGCAAGTGGGGCCAAGTGTTCGTGTAATAAAAACAAGGCTCCAAGTTTGTCCATAGCTTTACACTTCCACCAATAAGAGCTTTGAGAAACGTTGATTTAAGTGCAACCCCCCCCCCCCACCACCAAAATATCAATGGTCTTCATCTGCATATTCTCGGCGTAGTCCCTCAGCATCTCAGAAGTTTAAGCTAAATTTTCCAGAGTCAAATGTCTTATCATTGTTCGCGAAGGCTTGGGGGCAAGGTTAGTTTGTAGTAATGCGTCACTCCAGGAACTCAATTTCTAGTCTCAACGGCTACGTTGGTAGAAAGTCAATACCACGGATCAGGGGCGAGGGTGGCCGCTGGAACAACGATTTTCTTTCCAAGAACTGCCTATACACCGAGGGTGAAGGGATTGTCACCCGTGTCTAACGAATTACATTCCAGGGATGTTACCAATTTCGGGGGCTAATAACTGGGTGAAGTGTCACCCATCAGACCTGTTTTTAAACAGTAAAGCCCGATCCCTCCTTACATGTGCAAGGTCATTGGGGCGCTCGTGGCTCCTTTTGGGCAAAGACAACACAAGGAGAGGCTCTTCCATTAAGACCACCGCCATTGCCAAAAAACAATTCTGCATCACGAGAAGGGAAATGCATCAGACATTGCTTGCCGGGTCAACTTGAAAAACACACGATTCACCAAACCCAGGACCAGTTTGCCAGCAATTTTATTAGCAATCTCCTTTTATATATTTTAAAGAGATTTATTTGGGCTTATCAGCAGAAATGGGCCGGCCACAGGGCCCCTTGGTGAGGAACACGCGCTCCTGGAATGGGGCATGGCCGGCCACGAGGATTCGCGTCCACGTGGCCATGAACGCTTGGAAGTCCACACTGGCGCCTTGGTTCTCGTGAAGATCCCCCATGATCTTGCGCACTTCATGCGGGTCACACGCACCCTGCATTCGTGAAACAGGAACACTTTCTGCTACAGCCAATGCACCAAGCACTCTGCTCAGTGTTGCAGCAACAAGAATAGGAATCAACATGCTATGTGGTCATTATTGAGCCATTCTCATTCAACCTTTAACAGTGACGAAGCACGCTCAGTCGTTCTTGCAAAACCCAATGCCACAGCACTTGGCACCGCCTCGAGCCGCAGCGGCTCCCAGTGCACGTGGAGACGCGTCATTGCACCACATTGCTCGAGAAAAGTTAGCTTGCAGTGCTGTCGCCGTGGAGGGCACAGGAAACCCACCGCCAGGTAGAGCCGCATGTGCTTCACGAGCAGATTCTGGAGCGTGTGGTTCCTCATGGAGACGCTCCCCGTGCCTCCTTCACAGTTGGCGCAGAACTCGCGCACAAAGATGTCCATCACAGCGCTCAGATCCTCAATGGCAGCAGCAGAAGGCATTACGAGATTCCTTCACCCAACACACGTGTACATTACATACCAAGATAAAGCACGCCCATGGCCTTTTTGGGTGCCCAGACGTATAGGACAGCTCGACTTGCAACACCCCCCCCCCCCCCGGCATAAGACTTTTCTTATAATAATTAAGACCCTCGCTAACAACCAAACTACCTACGAGTCCGAGCAAATCGTGTGCAGACGCAGCGCCATTAGGCGACGCGTTCATGTTACGCAGACGTCGCCAGATGACAGCGCTATGCTCTGACGCATGTACAATTTAGCCCAACTGTGCAGCTGCGCAGAGAGAACAATGCGGCACTTTCTCAACGCTATTCACCTTTGTAAATTTGCCGTTTGCTACGTCTGAGGAAGTGATGCACATGCAGACAATTAAATGATTTAAAAAGACGAGACTTAAAAGTACCCAAATTATAGGATAAACGAATGTATAGAGGTAGAGCATTCCAGCCGTGCAGCACAGGCACAGCAAATGCCCGCTCACCCCAGGAAGGCAGCTGGGATCGCAGTACTCGCAGAAGGGTGGGGGATTGCAGATCTTAACAACCTTGGCAAGGGGTGTAGGGATGAAGCAACCTCACGAATGTGATACCAGCCATTGCAAGACCTTAAAAACCAACTAGTACAAGGTTTTTCAAAAAACGCCGCTTCAGGACAGGAAACCAGTGTAATGAGAACCAGAGAAATAAGGTCACAATGGGGTTAGGGCGAGTAGCCAAATTGCCACATTCTGAACAATGTAATCTACCAAGAACCTTATTTGAAACCTCTACCAGCAAGGCATTGCAATAATCGATTCGCTAGAGAACAGATGCATGGACGAGCCTCACAATCAGCAAGTACAAGTATTTTGTGCAGTCGAGCACTGTTGGGAGGCAAAAGGTTTTCACAACCATAACATGAACATTGCATGGAAAGGGACGGATCAAATATCACCAAGATGACCAATCATGCTTTGGGCAGACGTTCTGGCCATCAACAATTAGGCTTAAGTGCCAGTTTAGTTGGCGAGAGCCGACCAAGATATTGAAATTTTTATTTAGCTCTGGAAATATTTTTCCTGCAACCGTGATTGCAGTTGAAATTAAAAAAAAAATTCGATGTAGAATATGGTGTTAGCTGGAGGCAAACGTGGGCGTCATCTGTGTAGCAATGGTAGCGCAGCCCTATAAATAAGTGCTCCAAAGTGTCATGTTAAATGCGAAACAGAATCAAGCACCGATCCTTGGAAGTACCCCAGACCGCACCAAATCTGACAGGACCTAAAGCCACCCAGGTGAAACACGGCTTGGGGTTTTGCAGACAAGAGCAGAACCACCACATGCCCCCATAATATTTTCCAGTCGTTAAATTAAAACATCATTGTTAACAAGCACCTATTAATGCCAACACTACACCCAGATGCCTTTTTATCCCAAGCAGTAAGATTTAGACACGTCCTCAAGCCACGGATGTCTCCACCGAACTCGAGACGTCGAGAGAAGACGGAACTCACCGGGATGTAGAAGAATACGAACGCCGAGCAGCAACTACTGAATCCGCCTCCCGCAGGGTTTAAATCCTCACCTATGCTGGTGACGTCACCAATTACGCCTTCACGTGTGCTGGTGACGTCACTTATAATTGTTTGCACCTGTGCCGTTAACAATCATTTCATCGACATGTTTTATTGACGTCACGTGACCCATCGAGTCTCCGCGTGTGAATCTGACCAATTCCGTGCGTCAACTCATTCAGACGAATTCCCTGCCCGTGCGGGGTAATGGAAACGGTGACGATAATTGATGATGATGACGAGAAGGAGGGTGGCTGAGTTTGTCTGTCTCTGTGATGTTCACTATTGTCGTGAAGGCGTCACTCGCTGTTCTGTTGCCAGGAAACTTGATCACAAATCCAATGCGAGTTTTGATATTCAGCGTCGATTCGCCTGAACTCTCACCTCGCCACGTGATTTGCCAGCAGCTCGCGTCTCTCACTGCCGCGCACAGACGCAGTTCTCGCGTTAACGACTCCGATCACCACAGCGCCACTCCTCCTGCAGTGTCACCGAGTATCACGAATCTCTCCCAGTATCCTGCGCCGAGATGTTTGGCCAGTTTCACATGGCACACGTGGTTCCCACTCATCTGCGAATGCCCCAAACGCCTGGAATTCGAATACTTCACAAATGTCCGTGGTTCCCCTCTCATCTCTATCGCAATTCGATGCCGAGCTGTCGATTCTTGACGATAACTTCACCTGCAATTGCTCGTGACTCGAATATCCTCGCGTGTTTACAGTTGAGTGCAATAGCCACCTTATATCTGTTTAATGTTCATGTTACTTGTAATTATACCACGATAAGTCGAAAATAATCGAATCGACTCAGGCTACAGGGAATTTATGAACCATGAATTATAAAAATGCAATAGTTGCAACTTTTCATGGGACGTAGTTGTTTTTCCTTCAAATACTTTTTTGCTTCATTGCAGTAAAGTATATTATTTATGTTGCTTAGATCACTCTTAAAATCCCATAACTCAACTGCGTCATCGTGTCATCACCAACGTCATCATCATAATAACAGCGCGATATGAAGGACGTGCATTAGACGCTGCTGGCACGATTTTGCGTTTCCATTGACACTGCCGCGTTACTTTATATCACGAAGTTCGGTTTTCCAAAAGCCACTCTACGTTGATCTCCATTAATAAAAAAAAATTCAATGACATGAAAAATTGTAAAACATTTCATTTAAAACAAATTTTAGAACGTAAAATTCCGAGCAACAATTGTCCATCTTACTTTCCAGAGTTTTTTTGCATTGCTCGCAGGTGAAATCAGGTGCCCAGGGTTTGTCTTGATCCCCGACAGGCATGCCAAAATATGGCTTGTCGGCCTCACACATCTTCGCAGATGCTTTCACAGAGTACTTTTTTGCTCTTGTCTTGATAAATTGGCCGCAGACATAGCAAAATGCGTCTGCCAGATGCTTGCAGCCTCTTGATGCCATCTCAGAAAAATGCAGAAAGGTATCCACTTACCCAGCTGGAACTAAACTGAACTGGTCGGCTTAAGGCCCCCGTATATATACTACTATTTATATTACTGTAAAGTTCTAGAATGTTCTAGAAGTTACTCCAAGTTTACTCAGCACTGAATCTATCTGGAATGTTCTGGAAAAAAGGTACATTTCAAAATATAACTGTCCTGGTCACAAAAGCAAAGTTTGTGGGGAATAACCATTTTCTCTACTTTTGAGGCATAAGCAATTAGGAAATAACACTACCCAGAAACAAAAACATTTGTTACACTGTTATCTGCGAATGCCTCAAACGCCTAAAATTCCATCGCTTTGCAAATGTCCTTGATTCCCCTCCCATCGACATCGTAATTCGATGCTGAGTTGTCGATTCTCTACGGTAACTTCACTTGCAATTGCACTTGGCTCGAATATCCTCACCTGTTTTCAGATTAATGTGATAGCCATCTTTTATATGTTTAATGTGATCGGTCTAAAAATGATCTACCCGAGCCGACTTCTGCTACAGGGAATTTATAATAAAACATAATTATTATTGTGAAATATTTTAGATGTTTCGTGACGCAGTTGTTATTGCTCTGAGTTCCCTTTGCTTAATAGATGTTGATTGTTTGTGGCTGAAATTCTCGTTACCTGGGTTATGTTTTCTGATCAGGCCCTCCGTGGTCTCTTGAGTTGTCACCTGGTTACACAAATTGCACTCGACTCGAATGCTTTTTCAACGAATCTCTGGATGTGCCGTGTTGATTGACCATACTTCACCAATGTGGTAAGTCGGTGGTGAATGGGATGTGCGAGGGGGGAGGCAGGACCTTTTCCGTTGTCGCGTCATACCCCTTCAATACCAGCACAGATCTCGCACTTTCTGGCCCCTCTCATGGACACCACACGGGGTTTATCGTTGTCTGCAGCTGCACGTTGATTGGAAACGGAGTGGCACCGAGTATTGGAGTAACCGGAGCTGCGGGGAACATCACAACCCGAGTGGAGACTCTCCCCATTCAACCTTCAGCAGCAAAACTTCTGAGGGAATCCCCGAGGTCAAACACCGGGGAACCCCACGGCAATTCACGTGCCAGATCCGCACGTTGACCTCACTGCCTCAATTTAAACTATTAAACAGTTTATTTGAACAGGAAAGGCCCACTGAGCTATAGTGTTCTTTTTCGGAAGTGATCTGGCCACAAATGGTAGCTGAATGAATTGGCCTATCAAGCGGAAAATTATAGCCGCCAAATACTCAAGCGCATGTATCAAAATGTGCAAGGGGAAAACCGAAAACCCGGAAAAAATCGACGCAACCTTGGCGAAGACAGAAACGCAAACTCCACATATAAAGCAGGCGTCAGGGTTGGGATCGAACCCATGATCTCCTGTATATTAGGCAAGGTCGTTAACGTCTCGCCACCGGAGCACCCCTTTCACAATTGGTTACAACTTAAACCTCGCTCGTGCCTTTAAATCAGTCTGCGATGTTTCCCAGCATGTTGCTCGCGACCTTTGTTCGGCTCATTTAAGAGCCCAACTTTTGGGCTTGTTGATTATCTCTTGCAGTTTCACATTAATTAATATCCCACGTTGGAGTTTCATCAGAAAATCAGAGGCAATACCCTCTCCATTTGCCTGTGCATTTGTTTCCACCAATAACATCGTTGGAAAACAAACGCTAATGCCCGGTGAATAATGTTTGTTAAAGTGAGATACCCCCTCGAATAGCGAGTCTTCATCTGCATATCCTTGGTATCACCCCATTCCCACCGAAGTTGAAGCTCCTCCATTTAGACATTCAACGGCCTTCTCGTAGCACAGAGCTTTGGACAAGATCAGTTTATAGTTATGCATCGCTCGAGAAACTTTGCATAGTGTGAACGGTTACGCTGGTAGAACACTTTCCAAATCCGAAAGCTCAGGTGTGAGCTTGGCCGCTTTCAACTTCCGATTCTTTCCGAGATATGCCTATACATCGTTAATGAAAAAACGGGAGAGGGCACTGATCATTGGGCGTCGTGTCGCCTATCACGGAGCTGTTTTGAAACAATTTCAAGCCCGTTCATCGTAACACCTGCGAGGTCAAACGCATGATTCACGAAGACCAGGACCAGTTTCCCAGCGATTTTATTCTTCAAATAGTTCCATTTAAAGGGATTTATTTCGGTTCATCTGAAGAAATGGGCGGGCCACATGGCCCCTTGGTGAGGAACACACACTCCTGGAACGGGGCATGGCCAGCCACGAGAATCCGCATCCACGTGGCCATGAATGCTTGGAAGTCCAGGCTGGTGCCTTGGTTCTCATGCAGATCCCCCATGATCTTGCGCACTTCATCCAGGTCACACGCACCCTGCAGGCGAGATAACGTGAACAGTTTCTGCAAAAAGGCAGTGTACAAATTCCTCTGCTCAGTGCTGCATCGAGAGTAAACATGTTATGGTGGCCATAAGACCAGTCGTAATCAACCCCTTAGCAACGGCTACTCCCGCTCAGTTGTTCCTGCAAAATCCAGCGCCACGGATCCTGGCGTTACCTCGAGGCGTTGCAGCTCCAGGCCATGAGGATCCCACAATGTGCATTCTTCGAGCCGAGTGGAGAGGCTGCGCGAGGAGGTGCGGTCACAGCGCCACGCACGGCTCGAAAAATGCTTGCGGTGCTGTCGCCGTGGAGGGCACAGGAAACCCACATCCAGGTAGGGCCGCATGTGCTTTATGAGCAGATTCTGTCGCGTGTGGTTCCTCATGGAGACGCTCCACGCGCCTTCTTCACAGTTGGCGCAGAACTCGTGCAAGAAGATGTCCATCACAGCGCTCAGATCCTCCATGGCGGCGGCAGATGAAGGCATCACGAGATTATCAGTGAACACAGTGTACATTAATTTTACACAAGATGAAGCTCGATCTCCGATATAACCTTTCGACCGTTAGCAACCAGTATAGCACACGAGGGGGTAGATCGCCAGCACCACGCCCCGCGACCTTTGCTTCCCACGTTGAGGGGTGCACACACCAAGTGCTCATTTGCGGTCATGTCGACCTAGAGAAGGTCCAGGACTCGTTAAGAAAAAGCCTTATCTGGTGTTGGCCTCAATTGGGAATCAAACTCGGGTTGCATAGTTCAAAATCGCAGCGCACAAACCGCTCAGATCCACACCACAAGCGTGTACAATCTACACGGGTTAACTTGGCGCAGTAACCCTACGCAAAAACACGTATTGCGTTCATGAGAGAGGACTCGAGAACCGTGAGATGACCTGGCTTAACAAACCAGGAGCCAGCCATGAGAGCAGATGCCTCAAAGGTGGAGTCTTTTATTAGGTCCGCCTTTTGGCGTCATCTAGTCGAGTGCCAATTGAGACGAGGCTCAGAAGAAAGCTGTCTCTGGTGTGGACCAATCAGTTTCAAGGACAATGCATATATTTTGTTTTTAATGCAGACATGAATCCTTGTAAAAAGGTTTCAGTTTTGTTTCCAGAAAAAAGGAGAAAACCCCTATTATTATAATGGCTGTGTTAGTGGGATATTTAACCTGTTAATGTTTAGACATTTAACATGTTAATGTAACACTGGAGAGTCGAAAATAACTACTAAACATCACAGCCAGTTATAACTTAACCTGGTTAATAACGTCCTTCCAATGATTGCTCAGTCGTGATATTTTTGTATTTTTTTAATTCACTTTATTTACATATTCATTATTGTATTGTTATCATTGTTTCTATCGACGTGACTTTACCGAAAGAACCATAGAATATGAGTTTCGATGTAGTATCTTTGTTTATCAAAGTTCCTGTCCCTGATACCATTGCAATCATTGAAGATTTGGTCCAACAAGGACTGAATGCTGATGTACCGGCCCTGGTTAGACACTGCCTCACCAACACTTACTTCACCTTGAATGTAACATTCTACAAACAAGTTTAAGGTACTCCAATGGGTTCTCCCTTATCTCCAGTTGTAGTCAATGTTTTCATATAAACTTTTTAGAAAGATACACCCGCCGTCCTTCCTTTTGGAAGAGGTACGTAGATGACACGTTCGTTATCTGGCCACATGGCCTACCAGCTCTGGACAAATTCTTTAACCACATCAATTCCATACACCCAACCATCAAATTCACCATGGAGGTGGAAAAGGATGGCAAGTTACCATTCTTAGATGTTTTAATTGAAAAGAAACCAGATGGCTCAACGGGACGCTCCAATATGGATGCCTACCTATATGGATGCACCAATATGGATGCCTACCTAAAAACCTGATTTTCACCACCATCCATCCCAGAAAAAATCCCTCATCAAAACGCTACACGATAGAGCTCAATGTATCGCTGACCATGAATACCTGACAAAGTGAACTCTAACACGTACACCAGGCTCTCAAGGCGAATTCATATTCTGACTACACAATCCGCAAAGCCATCACCGAACCACGAGGAAGGAGCCATCTGAAGATTCAATCAAAACCATCACCTTATCTTACATAGCAGGGATAACCAAAAGATTTCCAAAATCTTGAACAAACACAAGATCCAGGTCCGACTTAATGCAGTGCATAAAATTAGTGACCTGATCCCATCTGAGAAGGACAAGATTCCTGACATCTACAAATTAAGCTGTATCTGCGGCAGCAGTTACATTGGGGAAACCAAACGACATGTCTCGGACCGTGTTCGTGAACATAAGGCAGATCTAAAACATGCCAGGATCAATACTTCTGCCGTGGCTGATCAATACTTTAATGCGGCTGGCATCACGTGAAATTGATTTCTCTTAGACGATGGTACTCTGCAAGCCGACTGGCTATCAACAAAGATTCGTTCACGAAGCCATACATTTCTACAGACAAAGACACAATTTCAACCGAGGCGAGGGTTTTAAACTCAGCAATCATTGGAAAGATGTCATCAACCACTTTGGGTCATGACTTGATTTGTTTTCTTCTCCACCTCAACCGTCAGCAGTGTGGGTGTGTGGAACGAGGTGCAATGCATTGATTGG